TGCTGAGAGTGTTGATTTAACTGAACTATTCACATGAATATCTCATAGCCTTGGTGATGGTTGGTTCCTAGACTTTTTAACTGACATTTCTATGTGAAACAGCGCAATGTCACAGTATTTTTACAAATATAAATGGGAATTTTGAAATGCACAGAAATGTATTTTTTGATTGAGGCTTACTGGCAACTTCTTTTTTTAGGACCTAAATTCTGGGTGGTGTTTATTTTTCCTCTCTTTCATTTAGTGAGTAATATTTATATAAAAGTTATACATCTTGCTTTAAAAGATGTTAATCTTCCTGAGTAACTTTCAATTTTTCAGACTACTAACAAAACCTGTGGAAATTATTTTGTGTGCTTGCTAGGTCTTATAGTGTAATTTTCTTTTGTTTTTGATATAGCAATACAAGATATTTGTGACATCAATATAAAATGCTAACAATTAGCAGAAGGATGCTACTATGGTAAGGTTAGACAACTCTTAAAAGACATTTCCATGTGCAGCGTGTGATGTCCTGTAAACTGTTCTGGCTCCTAGTTAAGTTTTGTAAAAATCTCCCTCTTTTTTTTCTTTGTTTTTTTGTTGTGCTTTGTTTTAGCTGGCAACTTCTGGGGCAGAACCATGTCTGCTATCTCTAGTTCTACAGACCCATCCAGCTACGATGGGTTTGGACCTTTTATGCCCGGTTTCGAAGTGATTCCATACAATGACCTACCAGCTCTTGAGGTATTTGAAAACTTTTGTTCTCTCATAATAAATGGTTTTACAGTGTCTTGGTAAATAGCAAGTCAGGAAAATCAGAAGTTTATCCTTTGAAACATGTGCTTTGACGTGAAGATTTGTGTATCTAGACATATATAAGAAACATATATGTTGTAATTACATATAGAAAATATGTGTAAATTGCTTTTGATATTCACCTTTGCTTTAGGATGTAAAAGGAAAAACCCACAATCTACTTAATTTCTCACCCCACTAGGATGTTAAAGCACAAATGAAGAACAGCAGATAAATTATAAGGGAATTCAGATCAGTAGCTTACATTCAAAGGGAATTTTGGATTCTGGAACGAGTATCGTTACCTACTTTTGTCAGTTTTTCAGTGATCAGATAACTAGAAATCACTGGGGTCTTGAACAAGTCTTTCCGCTTTCATACCCCCCTTAAAACCGTGCTAGGTTAGTGTTTCACTTAAGCTACTGAAACACGAGTGAATTCTGCATTTCCCTGGGTTTTTGGAGATGCACCGCGTTGAGGAGGGTTGACTTTGATTAGTCTAAAATTTCCTACTCTCATCATGAGGGCTTAGGTGTTCAAGGGTAGATGGATTTTGATGGCAGCCGTAGGTTGCTGAACCTGGGAGGCAAGAGGGTTCCAGCCGAACACAGACAGTCCCGAAGCACTAGGAACGTTGCCGTTGCCACTTTTTCATCACCTGGGTATGTCGTCTCCATGAGCCACAAGTTGGTCAGTCCTGCGTGTCTGTTGGGTCTGCTTAGCGCAAGTGAGTTGGCTGCAGAGACTGGAGGGTTTGTAGGACAGCACAGGTGCTTGTCTCCTCAGAGCTTGCCTAGGGGAAACAAAGGTCTCTCAGCGTATTATAGTTGTAATGCGGAAAAGCTTGCTCCAGTGTGAACCTACATAAGTGTCTTTTAATCTCCAACAATAAGGCTGCCCGTTAGGAAAGCCCTGTAAGTATTTAGGGGCTTTTGGCTGACTCTGTTCAGGCTTTGAATGTGCTCTGAAGACTTGAAATTTAGATCCATGTCCATCAGACCCGTGACTGAATTTGTTCTGTTTATGGGCGATACTGCAAAAAGCTGTAGGAAATTCATGCTGGAAATCATTGTATCTCTTGAGTCTGGTGGACTTCTAAACCTTTTAGAACCTGATGGTGCAAGAATGTAGCTGTGGACTTTGCTTTAAGGCGACAAAATTGTTCTGGAGAGGCTTAATTCTTTTTTTTTTTTGGAGAGGGGTGTACTGGGGAAGCGTTGAGCAATTGTTTGTCTTGTATGGGTTAATGCAAAACTGAGTGTGTTTCTGATGTGACTTGTGAACTGATCTGATAATCTCTGTGGCTGGGTTTGCAGTTTTTGAGGTTTGTAGTTTCCCAAGCAAGCACAGCAGCTGATTTTTTTTCCAGGCAGATAGTGACAAAGACTTCTGTGTTGGAACTGAAATGGCGTTTGGAGATAACTGCCTCACGTGAATTCTGTTATTGTCATTTAAGATAGAACACCAGGGTTTGAACTAGGCTCTTCTACATGTCTTCATCTCTGTATTTTCTAACTTTGACCCAAGTTAAAGTTTTTCCTTTTTGTCTTTCCTATCTGTATGTCCATTTTTACAGCGGGCCCTTCAGGATCCGAATGTAGCAGCTTTCATGGTGGAACCAATTCAAGGTGAAGCAGGTGTGGTTGTTCCTGACAAAGGTTATCTCGCGGGAGTGCGGAACCTCTGCACAAAACACAATGTAAGGAATTTGTCCAGCAGGTTGGCTTAAACATTACACACTGTGTTTACTGGCATACCTTGTAAGGTTGTCCTTGTATGCAAGGTACAGGACTTCATACACTATTTAATAATTTCCTTTTCTTTCAGTTGAATAGAGTTGGGACACTTCTGGTATTTCCAGTCAGTGCCTTACCAGAAAGTACTTCTTAGCACTCTGTGTTTTTCAGTTTCTTACTGCTGTCACAAATTTAAGTTTCTAGTGAATGTTCTTGAAACTGCATTTGTTTTAAATTGAAATTAATTTCTTTTTCACATGATAAAGTTTCTTGGACCATAAGCCAATTACTGCAGTGATTCTTCCATGACTCTGAAGGGACCTTGTTGCTAGAGTGCATAAGTGGTACCAAAACTAAGTAACAGTAACGGGTCATGGTCTAAAGCACTAAAGAAAATGCTCATGTGCTTATGAATGTTCTTTTAAGATCTCTGAAGAGCAGTGATCTTAAAGCTTTGTTTTCTTGTTTGGCATTTTCTCAGATTTTATTTCATACCATGTTCCTCACTCCTATTCTGAATATTGTGTCCTGCCTGAATTTCACTAAGAAATGTTTAGTTTTGAAAACTGAGCCTTAGAGCCATTATGTCTGTTAGTGAAGACACACTGATTTAGATTTGTTTTCAGTGTCTGTGGAAGGGTGGGAAGATGTGTTTATATATATTCCCATGTCTTTGGGTATCGCTGATTCTCACAAACAGGCTGCTGTGCCTCCTTCCTTCAGGACCAATACAGTCAGCATCTTCTTGCAAGAGTCCAGCGCAGAGCCACAAAGGTGATGAAGGGAGTGGAACATCTCCCTGGTGAGGAAAGGCTGAAGGAGCTGGGGCTCTGCAGCTGGAGAAGAGGAGCCTGAGGGGTGACCTCATTAATGTTTATAAATATGTCAAGGGGAAGTGTCAGGAGGACAGAGCCAGGCTCTGCTCAGGAATGTCCAAGGATAGGACAAGGGGCAACGGATACAGGCTGGAGCACAGGAGTTTCCACAAAAACATTAGGAAAACCTTTTTCACTGTGAGGGTGCCAGAGCCCTGGCCCAGGCTGCCCAGGGAGAGTGTGGAGTCTCCTGCTCTGGAGACGTTCAAACCCACCTGGACGTGTTCCTGTGTGACCTGCTCTGGGTGATCCTGCTCTGGCAGGGGGGTTGGACTGGATGATCTTTAGAGGTCCCTTCCTTTCCCCAACATTCTGTGACTCTGTGTTTCCACAGGCTGGGCCCACATCCTTTGTAAATGTGAGGAAAACAACAAGGAAAGTTCTGATTTACAGCTTTTTATTCCCTTGGTATTGCCTATCTGACTTCAAAATTAGTGGTCTCTGTTGCAATAGAATTCTGGTTCTCAATTTGCAGGTGTTACCTGTAATTCCTTCCACAGTTTCAGAGGAAGGTACTGATGTATAATTAATAAAGTTTACTTCATTATTGCTGCAGTAATTAGCTCAGAAAAAAACCCCGAAATACTACTTTAGAGTCATTTTGCATCTGTGTGAATTTTTCTTCTTTTTGTCTCTGTAAAGGTTCTGTTTATTGCTGACGAAATACAGACTGGTTTAGCCAGGACAGGGAAGATGCTGGCTGTTGACCATGAAAATGTGAGACCTGATCTCATTCTTCTTGGAAAGGCCCTTTCTGGTGGCTTATATCCTGTGAGTAACAAAGAAATGTCCGTTTGCTGAATAATGACTTTTAAGTGATGAACACCCCGAGTCTGCTGGTTGGGAAGCAAACGAATATGATGTTTGTTCTGCTTGGAAGTCGGTGTTGACAAGATTAACCAGGATTTGTGACGCAGATAGTCCAACCTGTGAGAGACACATAAGGAAAAAGTAGAATACATAATGTTATCTTTATAGCTGAAATGGGTACATAGTATTCAGAACTTTTGTTGTTGATACTTCACTTGTGAGGGTGGCAAGATATTAGATACTGTCTTTTTAGGCTGGTGATTTTTAGGTGTTTTGGCCCGTGTCAGTTAATTGAATCAATTTGGTATATCTCTGTTTTCTCCAGTTTAATATTAACCTGTCAGGAAAATAATTTTCCAGTGGTCAGCCCTTTATTCTATAATAACTGGTTAGTCTTTTGTAATCTCTCTGGAGAGCAGTTCATCACAGTCTTGCTGTGATTAATTTCTAAATGAATTCTGTAAAGGAAAAAAAAACAAACCAGCTAATGTGTGCTAAAACATGAATTATAAAGCTATTTCTGAACAACTGGTATTATTTCATTTGTTTGGCATGCCTGCATGACTGATTTTATCCTCTTGGAGTGACTTAAATTCCTGCT